CACCCAAAGATAAGTTTTATTTTATTTTTTTGTCAGATTGATCCATTTCTAACCTACATTTATATTTTTTTCTAAATCCTAGCTCAAAAACTGAATCAGGTTCAAACAACTGTACAATGACTGCCAAGGTGGAATCACTAAGAAAACCAGGATTAACCCAGACCTCAGCTCCAAGTTAACCACATCCAATGTGTATGTTAGAAGATTGCACTAATTTTGGCATGTGGTCTCAAAGCAATTTATACCAACACTGATGGGCTGACTAAGTGTAAGAAGAAGACACTTGGACATGTCCCTGACTCTTCTTCCCTCTTTCCAAAAGGATGCACTGAGAGAATACAAGACCCCTTCATATCTCCAGTACCATGCTCAATATAGAAACCAATCATACCATCCATGGTCCCAGTTGAAGGGCCTCCAGGACATTCTAGCCATCCTGTGCCCTTCCTAGATCCAGTCATGAACAGCTCAAATTTCTCTTGCCTAATACATGACATGTAATCAGGAGTTGTATATAGACCATCATCCCAAGTTAACCCATAACTCCCAGATTACCATACATGTGTTGTCCTTGAATTTGAAATCTTGGCTCAGTTACAAACCTGTGCCAAAACTGTTCTCTCAAAGGGCACATGAAAGTTAATTCCCACATAGATCTGAGGATCTTCTAGCAGACACTGGATGACTTCCCGTCAACATCTGCGGGGCTCCCAGTTTTGATTTAGAGCCGAAAAAGCTAGATTTCCCTGCAAAAATCTAGACTTTTTGGGTCTAAATCAAAAACTGCAAGGGTCCCAGATCCGACGGGAAGTCCTCCACTCAAGACACATCAAATCATTTGTTGGGTTCCTAAATCTTGATCAAACTCTCATTGTTGTACGTTTTTGTTGTGACATGAGTCAAGCTCTTGAATGCAACACATGTCACAGACTTGTAGATAGTTTCAGATAGAGATTTTCCTTCCTAAGGAATGAATGAAAATCATCATCTCTTTCAAGCTCACACTCTAAACAATTTCCACTTCTCACATCCCACAAAAAGAAGCCAATGTTTGGGATGATGGTCTATTAATGTAAACCGACCAACAGCTGGCCCTCAATAAACAATGAGTATATTTATATATGTGAATGATGTGTGTGTATGATTACATATGTATACAGACAAACAAAAAAACAAAAAAACATCTAGAGGATATCACATGGTGGAAGTATGTAATGAAGATAATTTACACTGGAAGCAATGGACTCAAAATTAAGAGTCAAATCCATACATTCCCCTCCCTTACTCCTTCGAATCCTCCTCCTCACAATAGACCAGGAATGCCAGCGAAGATACAAGATGAAGGGTGTGTGTATAAGGGATCTAAAGACTAATAATACAAATCAAAATCGAATGGAGATGTGTTGGAAAATGATGATGATGATGGTGATGACAGAGATAGAGATCGATAGATAGACTGATGGATAGGTTGATGGGATTCAGACTGCTTAGATCAAAAATTGACTCCGAAGACATAAATCCTGAAAGCTATTACTATTACATTTATGTATATATAAAAGGCTTGAAATGTCAACTATTGAAGATTAACTGACCATATCTATCCCAAAAAAAACCCTAATAAATATGATGATAAGACAAAAAAAAAACGAATGACTGGGACGGATGGGGAGTGATAAAAGCAGCATATATACACGTCAATATCTACATGTGGAGTGATCAGCCGACGGCTTCTTCGTCTTGGTAGTGATCCGACCAACTGGAGTGAGTTAAGAAGCGTCGAGCCTAGGACGAAGGTCAAGGAGGATGCAGAAGATCTGAAGGAGTGAGTTGAGGGGTGGTCGAGGAGAAGGGCACGGGCGGAGGAAGCGAGAGGTTCGAGGAGGCGGGAGAGGATGAAGGCGAGGATTGGTGAGCGAGCAGCGATGATGGATCTCGAGAAGCGAGTTCGTTGAGCGTAGAATCGATCGACAGTCTCGATGGGACGATAGTGGTAGCAGTAGGAGGATGGTTGAGAGTGGAGGATAAGAAAGAAGAGCTGAGGATATTGGAGGCCTTCTTTGCGATCCGAAGGGGTGAGAAGAATGTAGCCAATGAGGAAGAAGAGGAGGAGGAGGAGGAGGATGTATTGGAGTGAGTCGTGGGCTGGGAGGGGGGGAAGACGGGGTGGAGCGGCGCAGGCTGGTCGAAAGACCGTCGGGCGTGGTAGTCGAGAAGGATTGAGGAATGGTCGGAGCGGACTGAAGGGACCGATGGCGAGAGGAGCTGGACGGTCGGGCTCTGGTAGTGTTCCTTATTGTTGCAGCTGTTGGATCGGGTGAGTTGGATGGGTTTGATTTTCAAGGAGGGGCTCAGTCTTAGAGTGGGTTGATGTGGTTTCAGTGTTTGATCTTCTTCGATTGAGATGAGAGTGTTGTTACTGGATTGTTTTTGATGATGGATGGATGGATAGTGATTGATGACTTGATGGAAATGTAGATGGTGATGTTGCTGTTGCTGTTGTTGTTGTTGTTGTGGCCATAGTGAGTGTACTTGTTCTTGGATTCGATCTAGTTCGAGTTGATGGGATTGGATCGAGTGGATCTTCCGATTGAGTTCTCGTTGTCGGATCCTGATGGATCGATCTAGTAAGTTTTCGATCCTGGAGAAGGTGCTTAGACAGTCTCTTGAGTTGATGGTCGATTCGAGTGCATTCTTTGATGAGTCGATGAGTTGGGTGCTGATTGAGATGAGGTGGTCTAGCAAGCAGTCGATTGGTTGTTGTTGATGGTTTTCCAGCATGGTTGATTATATTGTTGTTAGTTGGTTAGTTGGTTGGTGTTGTTGTTGTTGTTGTTGTTGTTGTTGTTTATGATGTTGGTTTTTGGACAGTTGGGTTGTCGATGAGCATCTTTCTGGTGTGGTTTTGAATGAGTGTGGGGTGTTTTGCTGTGAAGAATGTCCGAAAATGGAAAAACCCAAAAAAATGAATGAAGAAGATCAGCACAGCAGCGGACAGGAGAGCATTTCATAGATTTCACAGAGCAATCACAGGAGGGAATAAACTCAGTAGAAGCATACATACACGCGCCAGACAGCATATGCTTATAGAAAAAAAACACAAAACATCTCTCCATCTCTCAAACAGTCAACAAAAAACCAAAACTCAACCAACATGGAACACCAACAACAACAACAACAGCAACAACAGCAACATCACCATCAACAACAACAATATCAACAACATCCATATCAGCAGCAGCTTCAGCATCAATATCAACAACAACAGCAATATCAACAACCTCCCCAGCAGTATCAACAACAACAACAGCAGCACTATCTGCAGCAGCCTCAGCACTACCAGCAACAACAACAACAACCAAGATCAGAAGTCATCCTCACAGACCAAATCGACCAACTAGATCAACAGCTACAAGCCACCTTTCGCTCCATCGCCAATATCATCAACTACAACCTCCAACTCAGAAAACTCAACATCACACCCTTTATCCAATCAAACCAAAACCATCTACCACCAAAAGAACTACTAGAACAACTCAAACAAAACCTCAACGGATTCGATGGCACCCTACTACAGATCGAAAAGATCGCAGTAAGCAAAAACCACTTCACCAAAAAAAAAAAAAAAACCCAACCATCTAACTAACTATCTATTACCTCCAGACCGTGGCAATCGCAATCACCAAACGAGACCTCGATCACGCAATCCAATCACAACCACCACCAGCACCACCACCAACAACAACAGTAACCGATCAAAATCAGATGGAAATCGAACTCATCTCAAATCAACATCAACAAACACCAAGCACTCAACAGCAACCCATCATCATCGAACAAGAACCAGAAGTAGAAATCCTAAACAACCCAAAGACTCATCCCCAGACCAGCCTCACCCAACCCATCGATCTCACCTCATCACAATCACCATCACCTCAACCACCCAATCCGATCGAACAAACAACAACACCAACTCAAGATCCTCGACCATCAGAACAACCATCCGGAGCAGATAAGCTGATCCCACCACCAGACCAACCCGAAATCGACAATCAGACCAAGCCAGAAGCTCAAAATCAAGGCCCGATCGAGATCGATCTCGAACGCGACTCGAGCCCAGAAACCGCACTCAACAACGTCTCCCCCGTTAAAGCTACCTCTAAAGAAGGCAGTAGCAGTAGTAGTAGTGCAGCCTGTAGTCCGACGAGTGCTAATCCGAGTAACGAGAGGCCAGGCACGGCGACGATGGACTTGAAATCAGCCTCCGATCTCACCGATGGCGACCTCTTTGGCGACGGCAGTCTCTTCGGGAGTAGCCATCATGGATCCGTCGTCCCCTCCCCACTCAACCAACATGCACATGTCACCATCCCTCCAACCGCAACCGAGAAAGATCCAAATAACGAGCTTCAAAACGTGCAGACTACCGTCCCATCTCAAGGCTCTAATGAGACACAGACTGATCGACCACCCGCGATTCCCATCATGGCATCTCAACAACAACAGAGTTCCACAACAGACCCGTCTGCTCAGCTATCAGTCCCAGCCCAGGACCAAAACCTCTTATCGACGACGACGTCTCTGACCAACACGGGCTCGCTCGACAGCTCGAGCTCGATGGACATGATCACCACTCAAGCCGACCTGTCCGCCTTCCTCTCCAGCTTCTCCCACTCGCCCTCTCTCCCGCATTCTGGCGGGCCCAGTCAGACCGCTTCCCCCGCTAAACGGACCCTCGAACAGGTGCCCGGATTGATCGGCTTGGGCATCGACCTCGCCTTCCCGTCCTCCTCCTCCTCTAACACTCATAATAATAATAATCGATTGAGTACCGAGCCTGTTTCCAATAATCCGCTCTTCTCTTCTCTCACCAACAACAACAACAATAACACCCATCTCAACATTAATCCTCTAGTTTCCAATGCCCATCATCTCGCTCTGCCGACTACTTCCTTCAACAATACTACTACGCCTTCTTCGTCCTCTACGTCCCCTGCTGCTGCTGCTGCTTCGTCGGCTTCTTCTGCAGATCCAGCGGCGCTCCCGACGCCCTCTCCCCTCGCCCATCTTCCCACCCCTTCCTCTAATAATAATAACAACGGTGCTGTGACTAATCTTAATCCGGTCGACTTCGAAGCTATGTTCGCTAATATTCAGTCTCACCTTCCTCCCTCTTAATCTCATCCTTTCTCTTTTATACAAACTCACATTTGTTGTTGTACTTCTTCTATTGTTCTTTCGTAATGATCTTCATAGAGAATTCTAACCTGAATCTCACTTTTCAAATTTCTATCATCTCATACATCAACCTCAATGATCTGAACGGTTCAATCAATCCATTAGATGGAGGAGTAGTAGCTACACTACAAACAATACCGATTTTGCCCCAGGAAAAAATGGCAATTTGGTTGGTGGAAAATAGGTCACTTTCCTGAGCATTTTTTTACAAAATGACTCAGGAGTAAAAATTAAGCTAAAATGAGCTATTTTAGCCAAAAAATAAAAATGCCTCAAATGAGCTAAAAATTAATTTTGGAAAGTTTGAGGCATTTTTAATTTTGGGCTAAAATAGCTCATTTTAGCCTGATTTTTACTCCTGAGTCATTTTGTAAAAAAAGCCTCAGGAAATTGAACAATTTTCCACCCCTCAAATTACCATTTTTTCCTGGGGCGAAACTGGTATTGTTTGTAGTGCTAGGAGTGAAATGTTAATCAGAGAGAGAATCTTTGAATTCTGAAGGTTTTTGTACCTCTTGAACAATTGAAGAAGCTTGATTGGGTCGAGCAACGATGATCTGAAAACACATAAGACTTGATCGCTCCAGTTATATAGCTCTCAATCTAGGGGCGAAGGAAAACATGAGGTTGACTGGACATCAATCAATGGGGAAAATGTATTGAGAAAGGAGAGATGGTTCGTTGGTGTGGTACATACAAACTGATCAATTCTCATCATCAAATTTAAAACTCATCCGAAAACCCATCCATTCATAAAAATCCACACTTTTCATTAATGTGCCGTCATCACCAATCCGGATTCCCAGGCAAGAAGATCAAGGAAACTGTGAGAGCCCGCCTACTGCTCTCTTTTCTTGAATGACTATAAGTATCTTCAAGAGAAGATACCGTCTATATTACAAGAGGTAGGGGGTAGTTTATCTTAGAATAAGATAAACTCTTGACGGGGAAGACTTTTTGGAAAGAGATTTTATTTATAAGGCTTTTAAGGATAATGATAATAAAGAACAAGAATATCGCGATGAAGAAAAAGGAGAGGAAAGAGAGAAGTCTAACAAAACTAACAAGAGTATATAAGGAAAGAATTCGTAAACAAACTGAGTAAAATCTCGACACAAAACAATATAAAACAACAAGTCTAATGATCCTTAATTAAAGATCATGATAACAACTAAACTAACAAATAAGTAACTAAAGATTTCAATATCTTACCAATGAAATCGACAACTAAAGAGAAAATAAAAGGTTAGAATCTGAAACGTTACAAATAAGACTCACCTTGTACCTGAATTCCTCCAGAATTTTCCTTTCCGGTTTTCTTAGCTCTTTTCCCTTTTTTCTTTTTCTTACCTCCAAACAATTCTGCATGAAGATCCTTAAAGGTGGATAAGTAAGTTTTCATTGATTCCGGAAAATGATCCTCAGCAATCCAAGTGTCATCAGCCACTGTTGAATTCTTCCAAGAAACCAAAATTTCATACTTACCCTTCTTGTATTCTCGCGCATCTAAAATAGATTTCATCAGCTTCCAATCCACGACTTCTTCATCTCTATAATACTTTTCTTTAATACCTTCCAACACATTTCGACCCGCAAATAAATTTGGGTTAATATATCGTACTATCAATGAAACATTAAAGACCGGATGAAGTCTAGGATATTCCTTTCCAATATCCAACTCCACTGCATTCTTACCTATCATCCTAATCACACGAAACGGTCCAATGTATCTATAATCCAATTTTGAATTTAGCCTCCTCGTCTGAATAAACTTCCTCAACAACAATACCATATCTCCTTCAACATAAACTGGCGAAGGCTTTTTCTTTTCATTATAATACAATGCTTGTTTCTTGCGAGCTTGAATCAAACATTCCATTGCCGTTTCCTGCGTTAACTGCAAATCTAAAATGAACTCATCCAAATCTTTACGACCCAAATTTTCTGTCATAATGTTAAATTTTGGATGATGACCATAAGAGAAAAAGAAAGGTGAAATTTTCAAACTTGCCGAATCCAAATTATTTATAGAAAACTCGGCCATATCCAAGCATTTGTCCCAATTATCTTGGTAATAAGAACAGTAATGCCTCAAATAATCTTCCAAGACTTGATTCATGCGTTCAGTCTGACCGTCCGTTTGTGGATGATAAGCCGTCGATAATGATGAATTGATACTCAAAGCCGTCATCAAAGCCTTCCAAAAATCACTTACAAAAGTAGCTCCACGATCAGAAACAATCCTGTCAGGAAGCCCATGCAAGCGGAAAATATTCTTCCTAAATAAGTTAGCCAACACCGCAGATGAAGAAGCCTCCTTACAAGGAATAAAATGAGTCAATTTGCTCAACAAATCTATTACCACCAAAATCGAATCGAACCCCCCTGACAACGGCAGTTTCACTATCATGTCCATCCCTATAGTACTCCACGGTTTAGGTCCCGCAACAATCGGAACCAATTTTCCATCTTGAGCTTGCCGCCGAGCCTTCACTCGTTGACAAGAATCACACGACCTAACATAATCCGTGACAGATTTTGTTATTGATGGCCAAGAAAACGTCCTCATCAAGGTTGATAACGTCCGTGCGATCCCAGGATGACCTATAGCTGGTGCATCGTGATACATCTGCAACATTCGTAATCTCAGAGTCGCTGGAACCAAAATCCTATCCCTATGAAAAACCAAACCATCAATTACCTTGATATCTTTACCTTTACGTTCATCTTCCAAATAATGTTTTGCAAAATGATCCAACAACGCTTGATTAGGCCGCTGGAAAGCAAGATCGTGAATCCCGTGAAACATGGCCAGACTATCAGTTTTTACTTCATTCAAATCTGCCGGTTGAACCAATCGATCAACGATAGCACGCGCTTCAGGAAGCTCCGTAATCTTACCGACCAAATCCTCACGACGACTAGGACCGTCAGCAGGATTTTTCTTCCCCGAAATGTGGTAAATCAGCATATTGAAGTTATCTATGAACAAAGCCCAACGCGCTTGCTTGGGAGAAAGATATTTAGCAGTTTTAAAGTAAACTAAATTTGAATGATCAGAAAACATTCGAACCGGTTCCTCAGTGCCCATCAACCACGCGCGCCACTCTTCGCAAGCCTCTACAATCGCTAACAATTCTAGATCGAAAATCATCCACGACCGCTCACGATCTGTAAGCTTCCTAGAAAAGTAACTAACAGGTAACAAATTACCTTGCTTATCAGGTTGACTAAGAACCGCTGCTATTGCAAAACCTGAACTATCGACGTGCACATATCGCAATTTCTCAAAATCAAAATGTAATAACAAAGGTTCTTTAACAAACAAACCCTTCAGCTCCTCAAAAGCTTTAACAGACAGATCTGTGCGCCATCCCACTTGAGACCCAAAGTCCCCTTTTGTTAAAGAAGTCAACGGACCCGCCACTTTGGAAAACGCAGGAATGAATTTCCTATAAAAATTTGTAAACCCCAAAAACCTACGTAATTCTTTCAAATTAGTAGGATAAGGCCAATCATTAATTGTACTCAACTTCTTGTCATTCATTTTCAAACCAAACTCTGTAATATCAAAACCTAAGAACGTAACCTGTGGACAAAAAAATTCACATTTGTTAAGAGATGCCTTCAAAGAATACTCTCGCAACTTAGAGAGAATATTCTCCAAATCCTGAATGTGAGCATCATGAGTACGCGAAAAAATCAAAATATCATCAATATAAACGAAACAACATATATCTAAATACTCACGTAGAACGTGTTGAATAAAACGCTGAAAAGTCGCCGGTGCATTAGCCAAGCCAAACGGCATTACTTGATATTCGTACAAACCCCAAGGTGTCCTGAACGCCGTCTTCCATTCGTGTCCAGGTGCAACGCGCAATAGGTTGAACGCTGCTTTCAAATCAATCTTTGATAAAAATTTGCACCCGTGTAAGTTATTCAACAAATGAGAAATTACTGGAAGAGGGTAAGAGTCTCTTGTGGTCATATCGTTCAACAAACGATAATCAACACAAGGCCGATCAGCTTTGCCGGCTACCTTCACGTAAAAAATTGGAGCAGCAGCTGGCGAGGATGAAACTTTAATAAAACCTTTTTGCAGATTTTCATCAATATATTTCTTCAACTCATCGCGCTCCGGCTTACTTAAGTTATACATCCTCCCAAATGGAGGAATAGCACCTTCCTTCAGATTTATTTCACAATCAAAACCCGCACGATGAGGAGGCAAAACTGACAAACTCTCAGAAATAAAAACATCAGAGTATTTCTTTAATAAATATGAACCCGGAGAAGAATCAACAGCCGAATTAGAAAGATTACAACCATTGATCACAATGTCATTGTGAAGTCCACCAATAAAAGTATTAGTGTCCTTCAACCAAGTGCTTCCAAAAATAACACTAGCGGAAGAAAGTCTCGTAACATGGAGTCTTACCGAAGTTTCCAAAAACTTTCCGGTAACTAAAGGAATCAGAAAAATACCATCTATATATGAAGTAACATCGCCTGTGATCGCCGCCGAACCATCGAAAGATCTAAGGCTTAAAGGAGACTGTAATGTGTGAGTCCTTAATTCATGTAGAGAAACAAAAGAATCATCAATAAAAGATGTCGAAGCACCGGAATCCACCAAAACAGAAACATTAAGCAAATCTCCCTTCTTATCGATCAAATGACCTTCAAAAATGGGACGATCATGTAAAGAAGAACGCAAGACACGATTAGCAGACTCACATTCTTCATATTCCAATTGAGACATCTGTCTATTGAACATGATTTCACCAATAGACATCGGTTCCGTCGACACTGAATCTAAATGAACTGGCTCCGCACCAGACCCAGAAGCCACCGGAGTCGAAGTAGATTGAAAACGTCGTTTTGGCGAATGGGAGTCTTCAGAATTGTCAACCGAATCGCGCTTCTTGCCCTTATCCACAAAATGTTTCTCCCGAGTAACCCCCCCCATTCCTTCCAATATGGAAGAGCCTGCTCCTTCTCTACCCAAGTATTCTCCGGGCGTGGACAGCCTCGATTCTTGATATGTTCGCGATCGAAAGGTTGAACGCAACGAAAACATAACTCTCGCGCCACACAAGTTTCGCGCCATAATCTCAAATTAAACCCGACAGCAGCTAGAACAGCATCAATATCCATGGGACCAGATTGACTAGATTTCGCCGCCGGTTGACTAGTGACCGAAGTTTTGTATTCAACGCGAGGTGGCGGAACGGTGAATTTACGCTGATTGATCTGATTTACCCGACCGACATCTAAAGACAATTTGACAGCCATGCGTTGCATGTCGTCAAGGTCGGTGAGTTCAGACCACCCGCCACGTTGAATACCCAACTCGATAATCTTCTGGTTAATAGCACGTTCATAATGTTCGACAGCGGAACGAGGAGAGAGATCGACGGAGTAAAGGAGAGTATTGAATTGAATATTGAAGTCCGCAATCGAGGAAGTACCTTGCCTCAAAGCAAAGAAGGCTTTGCGGGCATCTTCCTCTTCAGTGTGACTAGAGAAGTGATCCTCGATGGTCGAAAGGAAAGTGTCCGAATGAGTTAATTCCGGCAAGACGAAAGGTGCCAAAGCGGAAGCCGACTTAGTCGGAAGGTCTTGCTTGCTAGCATTCCAAGTCAAAAGGCTTCGCCACCAAGAGTACGACAGGCATTGATCACCTAAACGACCTGTGGTCGTTCTGAAATAACTAGAAATCCAAAGAATCTTCTCGCATTCATCAGAAAAATAGTGAGGAATCCTTGCGAAAGTGTCGCGAATCGAATAACAAAATTGATGAGTCTCTGAAACCTCGCCAGAGAACGACAGGTGAGAATAATGGGGGGGGCTCAAAATGAGCCTTTGTCGCAGGGGTGACAAGATCTCGTGACTCTAATTGAAACAACCTGGTGTTAGTGGAACTTGTGGAAGTATCAAAATTGTTGCGAATCTGGAGAAATTCCTTAGCGATATGAGTCTTCATTTTGGTGAAATCCGACGCGAACACCAGTAGTTGACTAAATTGAGAGATAGTCTCCTCATTCTTTCGGAGAACCTCTTCATAGCGGCGACATTGCAGTTCTAAATTAGCAATGGATTGAGCGTGAGCTAACAACGTTTGGTCACGGTCGGGATTGTCGACGCGAAGATCCGATAAAAGAGAGGAAACCCCATGTTGATCATCTCGTCGCGAAGGAAGGGGGGAAGAAGGTAGGTGAATGGGAGAAGAAGGCAAATGACTGAGATCAGGTGAAGGAATAGGACGAGGTTCAAAACCTGCCGGCATTGGGGAGAGTGGAGGAAGAGAACGGCGAGATCGATCGCCGACAAAGATATTGGGCAAAGGACTGTTGAAGGGCGAGATGAGCGGAAATTCAGATTGACGGTTGAAGGAATTCGGGAGTGGTGAAGATGGAAACGACATCCTGATGGGCGCAATAGGCGAAGATTGATCGGACATGAATGACGGAAAGAAAAACTTTAAGACGTGAAGAGACGAGTTGATTGAAGAAACGAGTTTCAAGGCAAAAAAAAATTTGAATTCTAATAAATCGGAGTGATCTAAGAGAAAAAGATCGCGATATAATTGTGAGAGCCCGCCTACTGCTCTCTTTTCTTGAATGACTATAAGTATCTTCAAGAGAAGATACCGTCTATATTACAAGAGGTAGGGGGTAGTTTATCTTAGAATAAGATAAACTCTTGACGGGGAAGACTTTTTGGAAAGAGATTTTATTTATAAGGCTTTTAAGGATAATGATAATAAAGAACAAGAATATAGCGATGAAGAAAAAGGAGAGGAAAGAGAGAAGTCTAACAAAACTAACAAGAGTATATAAGGAAAGAATTCGTAAACAAACTGAGTAAAATCTCGACACAAAACAATATAAAACAACAAGTCTAATGATCCTTAATTAAAGATCATGATAACAACTAAACTAACAAATAAGTAACTAAAGATTTCAATATCTTACCAATGAAATCGACAACTAAAGAGAAAATAAAAGGTTAGAATCTGAAACGTTACAGAAACACAAACAGAATCATGCATACATGGTTTTCAGATATTATGCTGAAGCATCAGAAAACCAGTTCGGATTCTCCCTGAGTTACATCCTCAATGAGTTCCCTCCCAAAGGTCAGATCGAAATTTGCTTCAAAAAGAAAACATCCTTATAGGATTATAGAAACACACGATTCTCAGAATGTCCGACCACTCTCACTGATCTTTGTTCGGGCCACTTTGCTCTTGAGTTTCGCGTGTAAATCGAGGATCTTTGCCGCATAAGTGCTATATTTCGCGAGGTTTGACGCCTCTTTTTCAGATTCCTCGAGCAGAAAGGCTGCTGGATTTGAGTCTTCAAACGTCGTCGCCTTGGGCTTGAGATTCATGCGGTCCGACGCGTTCTGGATCAGCACCAGTGTCTGGGAAAATCGGTCATTCTTGAAGAAGCTTGCATGATCGTTTTTTTCAAGCAGAGGATCTGATGGACTCGATTGCAGGTTGGAAGAGGGTATGTTGTGTGGCTGTGTTGTGTCTTTCCCATTAGCATCTTCTGGACTCGGGGTACTGCAAAGACGTCCCAGCTTCATAATCTCATCGGGTAGAAGATAAACGATAGTTGCCCATTCAGAGTGATTCAGTTCACTCAAGAAAACATTTGGGCCCGATAGCTTCAATGCCAGCTTTTGGTCTTCAATCGTCGGTTTACAGGCTTGGACTAACAGTTCTTCTAGGGCCAAAGACTTGATTTTGAGTTTGGATTTCAAGTGCCATATTTCTCCGAAAAGGCCTCCATTCAAGCTGGCATAGATCAGATTTTCATGGGCATCAAGGGTCCTCATATTCTGAGAATGGAGGAACTTGAGTCGCTTTAGAGCCAAGCTTTCCACCGTCACAGGCGGCGCGTCAGCTTCCCAATAGAGTTTTGCCTTGATCTTTCCAGAATAAATCACCACTTTGCATCTCTCCTCGAACGACAAGACGCTTGATTCCGCAAGCGACAACAGGCTGTGGAGCTCTGGATAGATGATCGAAGGCTTGTGTCTCTGGTTCCCCCAGATCCAAAACTCCGACAGAGGGGTGGAATAAACCGTCTCCTCAAACAGTCTGGCCAAATCAGCTTCAGTGTACCGTTCAATCAGTCTCAGATCGTCTGCTGATTGGAGCGCTTTCTTGACTCTCTTTATCTTTCTATTGTCAGGCAGTTTCATTTCGTTTTCATAGACTCCTCTTTCAGTGTTTGTGGCTGTATCTTCTTGGAGCCGTATGATGGGAATTCCCCTTTCCAACTTTTTCGAGAGGATCTTTTGGCTTGAATCGAGTGTTTCTTTTGTTCTCAAAAATCGGAGGGATAGTTCCTCTACGGATGAGACCTCATTCTCCATCGCTTTGATTGCAGTCCCTATTGGATCATAGTTCTTAGGTTCCCAAAACTTCTCTTTCATCCAATAATATTGCTTTGCCAAGTCTTTAACCTTAATCGTCTCTTCTTCTGTCAACTCATCAACCTTATCAAGTTGATAAGATTTGTGATAATTTTGTAAATTTTTTGACAATTTTCTGCAGAGCTGAACATCCTCTAGAGTCAATGTGGCCACTCCTTTGCCTCTCAATACCTTGTAAGCCTTCTGATTTCTGATCTCTGTCACAATCTGTTGTGATTTCCATTGATTTGTTCCGCAATCTTTGCTTATCATCTTCAAGGCCTTGGCCAACTTCTCATCCTCATCCGTCCAGAATGGACTGTTTCTTTCCCTGGAATGCAACTCTTTGAGTGTCTCAAGAATCAGTCCCAAATCATCGGGGTCAGTCAACCCCAACAAAGTGTCTTGTTTTTGGAGCTCTTGAAACCTATCACCCATCCTGATTAAATGGTCTTGTCTTCTAAGCGAAAGTGTGTGACTTTCTAATCTCTTCAAAAGCTTCCTTTCTCCGCTTGAAAGCAGCACATTGTTTGCGGGATCCACAATGAGCTGAGCCAAGCCAGCAATCTTCTCGGCCAAGCTGATGACCTCCTGGGAGAATGTGAAGCCCGCTTGTTCGGCCCTGCCCAGATCTAACAGGATCCGTTCCTGCTTTGTTGCAGACCTGTTCCGAAGACAAACCCGGATCCGTCTCAGAGGGTATCCTAGCTGATGGCTTCCAGGCTTGGACGATCTGTCTGCTTTTGCGGATCCTATGAAGCTGCTCTGGTGGCTCCCTGGCTCCTCCATTCCGGGACAAATATCGAATAGCTTTCTTTGACACCATTCATACTCCTCACGGTTTGCATTCCTCTTGTCATAAACATCTGCCAATATGCCTCGAATCACATCCGATAAGTGTTCAGTTTTGGCCCGGTCCTCATCAAATTTCTCTTTGCTTCCGTAGGATTTCAGATAAATATCCTGCCAAGATTTCTTTGCTTTGTCTATGCCTTCGATCATGCTTTTCAATTTCTGCAATTGCAGTATATGCGCTTTCCCGTATTGGCCGTTGAAGCAAACTGCATCGAGCTGCTCTTCTTTCAACTCCGAAAATTTCATGCTATGATACTGTGGATCAATTGTGAAAGTAGATGCTCTATCTTCTTCCTTCATATGTCCAGACATGTCTTGATATATCCCTCTGCTTGTCGAAGCTTCTTCAGCTTGACCACTCATTTGGATTGCCTGCTGACCCAACTCTTGAGTAGCCTTTATAAGCTGATTGGTTGGATGGTCTGGGGGCTTCAGTAAAATCCTAGGGTTTGTAATGAGGACATCCATCCCAAAATTTGCCAAGAACAGATTAAACTTAAACAAAACTAAACAGACGAATCTTTTGTGGGATTCAATACGGAAAATCGGACGAAGTGGCACTGATGACTTCATCTTTGAATTTTCTAGAAAAGGTTGCGTGAGTTAATTTGTTCATGTATTAATCTCGATATTGATTGAACGGCTTCAGAATTGCTCATGAGCGGAAAAGCCTCTCCCTTATTAACTCAAGCCAGGGGACGAAGGACAACTGCAGATCATACGGAAAGCCCGTTTGGAAGAGTGCACGGGTGAGCCGTAACCTGTGCTACCGAAGCCGACGAAGCCGTGCTGGCGGCCATGTGAGGTGTACTCATTACAGACTCCATAACCATGCTCCGGATGAAGCTTAGGTGAAAAGATCACCCCCAGCCGCAACAATGTTGACGGATTTCCAAAAAGACTCTAGTTATTTATATAGATATAAAACACTTCATTCAAATATCAAAAGGCTCATGAATGGATATAAATCATGTGAACACTTTCCTTATGGCCCCGATGGGGATGTCAAGTGATCTGATTCTGCAATAGCTTGCCCAGACTCTCATAATTATGTGTTGGCATGACCAGACTGGAGCCAGATTTTGAAACTGGGAGAGAAGCATATGACTTTGTTCCACCAGCGTAGTCAATCAATCTCATAAATCCGCCATGGAAATTGAGGGTACATAGTTAAGGCAATTTGAGACCCCTAACAAAATTTTTGAAACTCCATTCTATTGCCATTGGATATACTTCTGAGAGATGTCTGTTATTTTTTTTAGCTGCGGTTATAATCTAAAACGGCTTCCTCTCAAACTTACCGTGGCTTGGGGGGCAATGTTGAGCGCCCTAGTTATCCAGTCCCAACCAAGATTAATATATCTTATCCCATGATCAAAAGTTTTCATCTTTGGCCACATCTAAAAACTTGATGATTGTTATAGTAACATTAAGTAAATTGAATGAAAGCAGGATGCATGCTCTAAATGAAAGGATCAAAAAAAACTGGGATGAGCTCATCAGTCTTGTCAAATCAGAAACATTCTTTATACAGCATCACAGTTCAACCTCTGGGGAGCCAATAAAAAGCCCCTCTCCTTCATCGTAGAACACATCAGCTTCATCATCACCATCATTTTTCAATGTCAGAAGTCAAAAATAAAATGAGCAGATATGAACCTAGTGAGTTATTGTTTAGAACATTAAGAAATTCTAGCTGTCCAGAGAAAGAGTATCCTGTGAGTGAGACTTGGAAAATGTTTTCACTACAAATCATGGCACTCCCAATATATAACACCGTGTTGCCCATGTAAGAAATTGAAGGGGGAAGTTGTGGGTCTGTCCACTCACTGGTCAAATTGATTCAAAACAAAAATACATTATAAGATGGTTGATGTTAGGGCGAGGTATTTCATCGGTCCTTTGATGAGCCAGCCCGAATTCTGCAGTTTTGAAAGGGATGCAGAATAGGGTGAAGTTGTTCTCGGTGATCGGGTCCCCCCGGACCACAGCAATCAAATTTCGTCATCATTCTGAATCCGGTCTTTTTGTTTGGTTTCCCTAGTTCGATCGACTTTGACCAGCAACACCACCACCACCATCACCACCATCTTATCCAAAAAAAAAAAAACACCCTCATCCTAATCTTCACTCTCCAATCACTCAAATCTCACGATGGGTCAAACAGGATCTCAACTACTTCAAGAGATCGAAAAATCGTCAAACTGTAAGTGTCTTGTCTGTTATTGTTAAAGACAACTTGATGTACATACTGATGATTCTCATCTCTTCAATATACGGTCATTGAAAAAAAAAAACCCCTTTGGACTACCGATTTGGTTGTGATCGTCCCTTTCTTAAAAAAACCCCTAATGGAATGCGACCCCGATAAAGTTACGGGTGACGAAATCCAGAGGTTAAAGAAACGGTTTATGAAGCTCGATCGAGATCAATCGGGTTCGATAGATAAGGATGAATTTCTGCAAGTTGAGTGAACTCGACTTCGTCTTTGAGGGGGATAAATGAGAATCGAGGATATCAAGTCTACCGAGTCGGAAAATCAAGCGCCTGCTCCCCCAGTCAAGATAAAGAAGAGGAAGGGGAGAGGTTCGATGCTCTGATCGACTCGCTTTAGATATCGAGGGCAAGAAAACAAAAAGATATCGATCCGGTCCAAATTTCGAGAGATCGATTTCCGGTTAAACCAAGTCCACACTCATTGATGCTTTTTTTTTGTTTGGATTCCTTTTTCGCTCAGATCCCGGCGATTGCGAACAACCCATTGGCGTCGAGGATGATTGCGATCTTCGATGAAGAGTGAGTTGCACGATTCAGAGATCTGCAGTCCTTCTCCCTCCCATCGAAACACTCACCTTTTCTCCCCCTTCAATTTTTTTTTTAAAAAAATAACAGCGGTGGTGGGACGGTCGATTTCCAAGAATTTGTGGACGGTTTATCGGCGTTTAGTAGTCGAGGAGATCGAGAACAAAAGCTGAAGTGTGAATACCTCTTGCCTCTCTTTCAAAGGGAGAAGTATCTTTGTTTCAGATGAGAAGATAGTTTATACTAATCCATTGGATTGATGTTTTTGTTCTCTGATTGATAGTCGCGTTCAAAGTGTATGATATGGATCGAGATGGATTTATTTCGAATGGAGAATTGTTCTTAGTTCTGAAGATGATGGTTGGGAACAACTTGAAAGTGAGTATGACGGAGGATTATATGGATTGGATGTTGAGCTGAGTAATGCTGACTATTTATACCAAAAAAAAAATATGATCTGATCCAATCAGGATCAACAACTCCAACAGATCGTGGACAAGACGATCATGGAAGCTGATACAGATTGGTGAGTGAGAGACAATCTCAGAGAAGGCTTGAATTTCTTTGATCTCTAATGGTTTGTTTTTGTGGACAGTGATGGCAAGCTCTCGTTTGATGAATTCAAGCAGGTCGTAGCTAATACAGATATTGCCAAACAGATGACACTTGAAGCCCTGTTTTAGCTTCAGTTTTTCTCATTTCACACTTTCTTTCAATGTTGTCATCTTTCCTTTGTTTCTTTCTGTTGTCTTGTCTTGTCTTATTCCTTCCTTCATTTTCTTTTTTTGAAAAGTTTACAAAAATTTGGATGTGTTCCAGTTCCATGTATCTTAATAAGCTGAGAGAGAGAGAGAGAGAGAGCCAAGGGATCTACGTAAAATTCAGAACAAAATAAAACGTATTTTACTTGAGCTGAATTTTTGTGGATTTTGGTCATTAAAAGGCCGGTCAACTTCACTGTTAGTTTTGACAGGTTTTTGACAAGATGCTGGTTATGATGTCATTTCCTGATGGAGAGACTTGCCTAAGCTACCCTATGTAGTTCTTTGTCAGTACAATTATGTGTCTGTTTTAAGTTCGGAGTTAATATATATTTTTTGATTTTTTTCTATGTACAAAAGTGGGTTACCATTGTAACAAGGGGAGTCCTTCGTCCCCAGTTTCCCAGCAGAGTCCGAGTTTTCCAGCCTCGATCGTGTTGACCACAACTCACAAATCATTCTACTTGTACCTCTTCCTCTTCTTCTTCCTCTTGACCATCCAACCCATACAGAGTACTGCTTTTAGTCCTCGTCTCCTTCTCCTCCTTCCCCAAACAAAAACAGACAGAGTCATGTCAACCCACCATATCATCCATCAAACCAACAACTCACCACCTACCATCAACCGACAAGAACCTCCCCCTCGTCGTTACCCTTCCTCCCCCTCCTCAACAGCCTCATCAGAATCAGATGAAGATACTCCTGGACCAGACCCACCGAGAAGGGGTGACGATCGAAACCTAAGAATCAACTCACATATCCTACACCATCCAACCGCACCTGCACTCGCCACCCCATCCACCAAGATCGGCTCCCATCCATGGCCATTCAACAGTCTCAGTCCTAGGCTCAACAACTCAGCCTCAATCGATCAACAACAACAACAGCCACAACCAGAACAATCATCATCAGCAGCCACAACAACAACAGCAGCAACAACGACAACGACGACGACTACCCAAAAACAACCACAGCAACAACAATCAGCAGCCCCAACTTGCACCCCCGAGTCTGGAAAATTAAACACCACCATCCAAACCCCTAATCAACCCCAACCTACTACAAACGGAACTTGGAAATCTAGCCACTCTCGAGCCGCATCACTCTCCAGCTCACTACCCCATGAAATCTTGATTCAAATCCTACGCTCCGTATCATCCACCAGTGACCTCAGTCAGCACCTCTCCAGTTCTACTGTCCTTGAACGCTTTTTTCTTTTCTCATACTGACTTGATTTGCTTTTTCTGTTGTTGTGTAGGGCGGGCCCTATTGGTCTGCAAGGCTTGGTGTCAATGTGGGATCGAACTGCTATGGCACAAGCCTACCTTCCCATCGACATCATGTCTCATCAAAATGCTCGTCTCACTAGCCTCCAAAAACCAGACCTTCCCATATATCTCATTCATCCGCAGGCTCAACTTCTCTGGTATTGCGGATCACATGACTGATCATATCTTACTCAGGCTCGTTAACTGTACCCGACTCGAACGTCTGACCCTCTCCGGTTGTAATTCGATTACCGATGATTCAATCATCAAGATCCTAAAAAACTCTCAGGATTTGGTCGCTCTCGACCTCTCCGACTGCAAACTAATCACCGACGAATGTATCCATGCCGTTGGCCAATACTCCAAATTCTTACAAGGTCTCAACCTATCGGGTTGTAAAGCTATGACCGACGCCGGTCTACAATCACTAAGGCACTGTAAAGCTCTCAGAAGGGTAAGGCATTCCCTCCCAACAACATGTTGTCATTATCAATTCATCCATTCAACTTCACGTTCATGAGAATCTTGAAAACTGAGCCTTTTTTTAAAAAAAATTCACCAGCTCAAATTAAAGTACTGCGAAAAGATCACAGATGCCGCTCTGACAGTCGTCGCTGTCGCATGTCCCCTCTTGCTAGAGGTCGATCTAGTAGGCTGCAGGCTGGTCACAAACGCCAGTCTATGGATGCTATGGAAGAACTCTTCTCATCTTCGTGAACTTAGTCTCTCGGGCTGCACCGAGATATCCGATGGAGGGTTTCCTAACGCATCGAATTGTAACATTGGTGCCAATGGTATCAGCCATCCTATCCTAGAGGAATCTGAAGAGAATCCGGACAACAAACCAGATCCAGGGACGGTGAATGGTAATAGCAATGGTTACCATGCCTATCCTTACAACGGATCCAATGGGATGATTCCCCACCAACTCGACAGCACGGCCTATGAATTTATCTCCTCAATTACCAGCCATCGTCGTCTAGAGGAATCCGTCATGCATTTTGATCATATCCGATTCCTAGATCTTACCTCACTCGTCAGGTTAACTGATGCCAGTCTCGATGGGATCATCAAGCATATGCCTCGGATCCGAAACCTCGTCCTTGCCAAATGTGGCGGACTGACCGATGAAGCCTTAAACTCGATCTGCGGATTGGGCAAATACCTACACTATCTTCATCTCGGGCATGTTAGTAGGTTGGTGCTTGTTCTTCTGTTATTCACCACTTCCATTTGCTTGATTTGGGAAGAAATGATAGGACTAACATAACCCCCTCTTCTCACAGTTTGACGGACCGTGCGGTGATTCGAGTCGCTCGGAGCTGTACTCGACTGCGTTACATCGATCTTGCATGTGCGACCCAGATTCGCTGCCTCGATTCCTACACAGTTGCTAATTCTTATCGGATTGTTTGTGCACAGGCTGTAATAATTTAACGGATATGAGTGTTTTCGAGTTAGCGCAATGTCTTCCCAGGTTGAAGCGAATCGGTCTAGTTCGGGTAAGTCACATTGTATTTAAAAAAAAGCCAGCGCGCTCAAATTCATTCATGCCTTCTTGCCGACAATCAAATCAGGTCACCAACATCACCGATCAATCAGTATATACTCTGGTTGAAAGAACATCGCTAGAACGAATTCATCTCTCTTATTGTGACAACATCACTGTCGGCGCTATTCATTGGTTATTGCAACGGCTGCAACGGCTGACTCATCTCAGTTTAACTGGTGTCCCAGCATTCAGAAGGACCGATTTGCAAGCCTGGTGTCGGGCTCCACCTAAGGTAACATTAATCTTGTTTCATTAATAAATAGCAAGACACATCGGCATACTGATAGTTAAACATTTTTTTTTTTCGTTAGGACTTTAATGCCCACCAACGGCAGGCATTCTGCGTTTATTCCGGAAAAGGTGTTAGCGAACTCCGGTACTATCTCGCCGCTCTGTATGTCTCAATCACCAGTTCGAACAATCGTAGCCGAGTAGGGCCGACTTCATCAAACAACAGCTCAATCGATGAAGAAACCACGAACAACATGACCCTTTCGGCTGCTCCTATCGGACCCAATCTGTCAGTTTTCAATAGTATGCCCGACCCAAGGACGATGGCAGCTGCCATGGCCGCCGCCCGACAGCAGACCAACCCACAACTCTATGGCATGGGGAGTCGTCGAAGGGAGCTGAGACTACCTGAACGAGGTGGAAGGGTAGCCCTGTCTGACTTTTTACACCAGGGACCAAGTACAAGTGTCAACTCAGCGGTAATCAGTGGAAATGGCCAGCTTTTATCACTCCCAGATCTGCCTAGACACCCTGCTTCCCGGATGTTCTTCCAGTTCAATAACGATAACATGGGTGTCAATGCGCTATTGGGTGTCAACGACCGATCAGTGACCCACAATGATCAACCATCGGCGACGATGCAGGTCGACGAGCCAGAATCAGACAGTCAATCGATGGCCGGCTCGAGTTCTGCGCCACGTTACAGCCAGTCTCATGGACCTGAACAATTTGAGCTAGAAGTTGGCAACGAAGGGGATGGACTGCGGTCGCCGATACCCTTATATGGGGTCCCCAACACCCGACTACCCCCCTTTGGACTGCGCGAACGGTCACTAGCAGAGCACAACCAACTGAACGGGGCCAGTACCTCGACGCCCTCGAGCCGGACCTCTCGGGCGGTGAATGCGGGCCCCGAACGAGTCGGAGCCATGGTGACGCCGGAGGGAGGGACACAACAGTACGGGCAGAATCGTGGGCCAACAGGGCATGATAGTCTCAGGATCCCCAACCACTCGATCACCCGTCGCAGGAGCGATGTCGACATGGCCAGTGGCGCCGGTTCCGTCTCTGCCAGACGACACCTTGGTCACCATGACACATCTCCCCCCGGATCAGCTGTCGACCCTGACGACTTCTCCGGCTCGGCTAATCCCAGCAGAATGGCTATTGGCTTGGGCCCTAGAACTAGAAGTAACGGAATCAATCTTAACGTCCCCGATCGGACTGATTCCGTCAGCCCTATCGAAATCTCCGACGACGAACGTCCTCCTCCTTGAGTTTCTTGTTTTCCCTCCCTCTCCCTTCTGCCCTCCTCCCCCCCTACCCCCTCCACTCCCAAATCCAATGTTTGTTACTAGTATACTGTTCTCCTTGATATATTTATATAAAAATACATTTGTTTCATGATACACATGAATTTACATCTCTATGAATACATATATACACATGTCATCATCATTCCTCATCAGTCATCAGTATATAAACACACTCACACTCACATCACACTATATACAAATATATTGAAAAGCTGTTGTTTATTATTTTATGATCATCAATTCCCTTCCTTTTATATCTATATATAATCTAATTCTCTTTTCTTCTTCCTTGTGGGAGGATGGGGTGAATAATGGGGGGAAATGGGGATGAAGGATGAAGGGGGGAGGTGAGGGAGTGGATGGGGGAAGAAAGATGGCAGAGGTTGTTGAAATGAAGAATAATGTGTAGATGACAGTGTTGTGTGATGTGTACATAGACATTTGAATGTGTGTGTGTGTGTGTTGATTGTATGGAGGTGAGGGGTATCCAGAAATCAACCTTCATAAGGTCTGCCAATTGTACGGAGGGAAGTGGGGGGTGCATGTCTGAAGTGAGATCATCCACCAAAAAAAGTACTCTTCATTTTTTACAATGTATTTATGCAGCTTGAGTGCTGTCTGGCCCAGCAGTCTAGCAAAATCCAGGAAATAGATTATCACCAAACCATGATCAGGATCTTTTTTTTTTCAGTTGAAGTTCTAATGCATGTATTGGATCCTCCATAGGTAGGTAGGCAGATACACTTGAGCTGCTCATGGGCTTGGTGGGTGTGTGATATCTTTGGTCGAGCTGGTTTGTGATGTGACTTGTCTGGGGCAAGGAGATTCAGAAAAACCAACACGTTGTGGGATCGAGAAGGGCAGAGAGAAAAGTGCCTTGTGTATGTAATTGGGGGAACAAGTTTCCCAGGATCAGCTGCCCCAAGCACTGATCAAGCCATTCACTTGTTCCTTGAAATTGAATCCTTCTGAGTGGCACTGCAGGCCACCATCTGCTGACAAGTGCAGGTACAAGAAAAAAGAAAAAAGAAAAAAGAAAAAAGAAAAAAGAAAAAAGAAAAAAGAAAAAAGAAAAAAGAAAAAAGAAAAAAGAAAAAAGAAAAAAGAAAAAAGAAAAAAGAAAAAAGAAAAAAGAAAAAAGAAAAAAGAAATCTCTCTGATTATTCAGAGCTACATAGGTGGTTGGAAATGCACAAGTTGGGAGTTCATTAGAAGGTGGGAAATGGTCTCCCTATTTGTGTGATGCCCCCCCAGCTATTGTGGTATTCAAAGTTGAAATGCATGAAATCATAGAGTGCATAAAACATATAATCATAAAACATTTTGGCTGGGAAAGCCAAAGCTTACATAATCAGATTACCAAGATCCCCTGCAAACAAGGTTTTAAGATCTTATGATTTATGTGGTTATGATTTCATGCATTTCAACTTTGAATACCATATATGTAGACAAGTAATGGAAGATTTAATTTCTTGAGAGTCTTGAACCAACAGGCATCCCACCATTCCATGGGACTCAGCAAAGCTCTATATTGTCCTACAATTCCTTCTTATGATGATTTTTAATTAATACCTTTTGACATGATATGCCTTACTAACACACTCTTTATTAGACATTTTTCTCTACCTCTTGTTTTTTTTTTTTTCTATCAGATCATCCTCTTCTTCTATACTATCTCCTCTTCCCATTTCACACAAGCCATATGGAGAGATAAGAGGACATCATCACACATTCTGATGTGCTGATGATCTGTAAATTAATGTCTCTCATATCTCAACTCAAAACTTCATGAAGCTCTGGGCTATGTTGTTTATGAATTTATGAATGCAAAGATTTTGAATACACCATTTTCTTTACATGAGGGAGGCGGACTGAAGAAATGGGCCATGGGATTTCTTCAAACTTTCTTCAAGATTGTTCAAGACATCTTCTGGACTCTCTGTGCATCTGTTGTTTACCAGAGTATTGCGTCCAACTGCGATCATCAGCGATTAACCATGCTTGGGATGGATGCAGAGTTCTTATCGTTCAAATCGAATCCGATCGAATCCAATCGCGGCTAATTAGGGTTACGTGCAGTGCACTTGGAAGTTGAAACAGTTTTCGAATGATAAGAATTATCGACATGGCTCGGTATGCGATTCGATGTCGGACTTTTGGATGAAGTGTACACCCATCCACACTCTGAGGAAAGTCCGGAAATAACCGCTCGGGGCCTCGATACTCACTTTACCTCCCACTTTCAATTGGCTCTGCGTGGTTTGCTTTTCACTCGTTTTGGTGGTGTCCATCTTAATGACTTTGCTTGGTCTTCTTCCAGATCTCCAGCATCTCCGGTTGATTGTGTTTTTTGTAGCTCATCATCAGCTGCTGTCAAGTTGCCTTAGAGGGTTCTTTTATGTTGGTCTCTTCCTCCCGGAGCTTCCGAGTGCCTTCGAGTCTCGGCTGTGTGGTGCATAGTCAGATCCAAGCCTCATCCTCCAGTGGCATCCAGCGATAGCGAGCTTCCAGCCTCGGTGAGCTTCTCTGGTTATCTTCCCTTCATCAAATGTAAATACTTCAGTACCGTTTCCTCCTTGGTGAGTATTCTACATCGCATTCACCAATCTCATGTCCCGATTCAAGCTTCGTTGTCAACCTCAACTCCAATGAGCCTGCGTATCCTTGTCATGGATTAGCCTTCATTTCTGCATGTATCTTGGTCGATTCGACCAGATCTTTCTCACCACACCCACTGAAGGTCATCATCCTCTTGCCCCACCTTGCCCATCTTCACCCAGGGTTGTCCCGAACTGGATAGAGCACTTCACCGGACTGGTCTGTCGTCGCCCATCCGGCAAGATCTTGCACTAGCTTGTTTAATTGCCGGCTAGATCGCCCATGATGATTGGTCCGATTGAGCGTATTCCTATCTGCAACTGATTGCTGATTCCTTGGAATTGCTTTTTTGCCTGCCTGTCCATCCTGCCTTTTTTTTCTGTCCGTCCGCTCTGACCCTCCCTCATGACCCCTGTCTATACCAGACGCTGCCTCATATATAAGAACGATTCAACAGGAGGACGGTCCATCCAGCCCCTCCCAAGCACCAACTTTCGAATCACTGTTTCATTGGAAAGCTCCCTCGGTTAAACCCACAACAAAACACTATCCTCGACCGACCCCCAGTGGGTTGCATCACATTCAAGCTCTCACAACAGCCTCAATCACCTCAAATCTGCTCATATTATCCGACATAGCAAGATCCACCTCAACTCTATTCCCACCCGCCTTCACTCAAACCTCTCTCCATCCAACTCGGCACCATGTCTGGACCGATCCTTCCGCTCAACGGCCTCACAGTCAGTTTTATGGCACTCCCAACCGTCGTTGGTACATTCTTCAAGCACATCATCACCCCTTCAGATTCTGATCCGGCGAATCGCAACGAATTGAAGGCAGATGAAGCACTCGCTGTTGCTCGATCAATGAGCCAGAAAATCACTCAATACCCTGTTGAGGACGTGCAGGTCAGATTATATATTAGACATATACATTGGGCTCATTTGCATGTAGCCATTATTGACATGATGTGTCCTCTCCCTCTGATTACAGCGTCTTGGAAATACCTTTCAGCCGGCCCCTTGGAGTGTCAGAGTTATCCGCGTCTCAATCCCTGCCTCAACATGTTCTTCTGCCGCTGAATATCTCACAGCGGCCTTTGGCCCTGATGAGATCAAGAATCTAATTGGCGGGCGGCAGTGGTGGCAGCTTCGTGGTAACAAGGACGGTTCAGTCGAGGGGGAATGGATTGCCATGAAGCGCGATCTACCTCGGTCGCCCTCATCCCGCTCGGTATCCCGTTCGTCCTCGAAACGATCTCCATCGCCAGCCACCGCCCCAAGGGGAGCTTCTCATCCCAAGTCTCCCGAGGTGCCCGCCCCCAGGCGCAAATCTATCTTTGGCTCCCTTCGGGCCTCCAAAGCATCTCGTCAATTTAGTACAGCTCCCGGTTTCCATGATGACCGACTTGGAACCCCAGTTCAAGAACCCACTCGAAATGACGAAGACAACTTGAATCACCTCTTCTCCACACTCGATCACGGTGCTGCTCCTCCTCCCACTACGGCCCCCCCAAATAATCCTAGTTCTTCTTCGTGCGAAGAAGAAACTACTAGTGACACCTACGAAGATGATTTGGACAAGATGCCGTGCATGCTCTACATTCATGGTGGAGGTCAGAATCCTTTTCATTTCATGATGTCATGCCTGTTCTCTTAACTTGACAATCAAGCACTGACTTCTACAACCGGCTCAATATGTTAAATCAGCTTATTACTTTGGTAGCGTGAACACGCATCGGTAAGCCTCCATCACTATTCTCAGCAATATAACAGTCATTTATTTGAGAAATTGGAAGTCTGATACCTGCATCGATTGTCACGTGCTTTTCTAGATATACCATCTGGAGGTACGCCCGGAAGATGGGTGGTCGCGCTTTTGCAGTCAATTACCGCCTCGCTCCTCAATACCCATTTCCGTGTGCACTGGCCGACTGTCTGGCCGCATACCTCTACCTCATTCGACCTCCGGAAAATGCCAAGTTACGCGTCACAGGGCTTACTTTCACGCATCGTCCAACACCCTTACTTACAAGATCATTTTTTCTCTTTCATTCAGACATAGGATGGTTGACCCGTCTAAAATTGTCATTGCGGGCGACTCTGCTGGTGGAGGTCTCAGTTTGGCATTGTTGACCTTGATCCGCGATGCTGGATTGCCGATGCCTGCTGGTGCAGTGCTCATCTCTCCTTGGGTGGATCTCACCCATTCATTCCCTTCAGTCATGAATAACTCCGAAACGGACATCATACGTATGTCTTTTTTCAGTTCTGTCCTGATTTAACTCCATTCCTAATGACTTCGACACTCTCTTGTAGCACCTTACGGGTTTATGCACCAGCCGAGTGTCCTCTGGCCACCGCCGTCACTGAAGGCCAGCGTCTCTCCCGCAAAGCCAACTCCACCCGCAAACGCACCTGAAGCCCAGCCTACTCCCACAACCTCCGAACCACAACCTTCAAGATCTAGTGAAGACGTCAACCCGTTCAAACTCAAGTTATCAGCAGAGCTGAAGATCCGTAATGATGAGTCCGACAACAGCGCCTCAATCATTGAACTCAAAGACGGACAGCCAGTGAAAATGGATCAACAAATTCAACTGTAAGCATTTGTGTTTACGCATTCTGACGTGTCTTAATCCGATTTCTGACTATTCCTTCACTCCGCCGTGTGCTTCCCAACAACCGTTCTCAGCTATTGTACCAACGATCAATTGACTCATCCATACTGCTCACCTATTTTCTCCCCAAGCCTGGGTGGATTACCACCCTTGATGATTGTAAATATATCTTCTTTCCTGACTGATTCACGCTTCGAACTGGTTACTGATCAACCCCGTCTTCTCCATTTCATGCGATGTAGATTGCCGGTCAGAATGAAGTTCTCAGGGATGAAATCATTTATGTACGTCTGATTCACAACATTTCGAAAGTTGATGGAAATTAATCATTTGATTCTAATCTTCTGCCAGCTTGCTCATCGTGCTGCACACCCCGAACGATATCCCTTGAGGGCTGATTTGATGAACGCTCACCCGGGAAGGAAAACCAATGCGGCTGAATATCCCCCTACCAAGGTCCACCTTCAGGTTTATGGTTAGTTGCCTTGGTAGTAAAATATTCGTCTTTGCAGTTCATATTATTGACCCTGAGACTCTGTTGTTCTCCGTGTCCAGATGAGATGTTTCATGGTAAGTTTTGCGTTCAAAATTACAAACACATAATCGGAAGGACTTACCTATCTTATTTGAATCCATACAGTCCTGCCCATGTTCTCCTTCCTTCGACCGGCTAAGTACTGTTACAGGGCGATTGGCTCTTTCTGCAAATCCGTTACTGGCTCTGAGAGCGAGAATAACTTAGATCCTTCCAACAAACCCAGATCACCAAGCCAGGTAAGTTTTTCTTTGTGGTTCGGCATTACGTCATCACCTTGTGTATTAAAACTTGACCCTTTAATTCGCAGGATCATACTCACGAGACCGAAGAGAGTGGACCGGTTCCTGCGCCGGGATCGTCAGCCAATATGCAGGTGTCTGCGTCGACCGGTACCCCACAGGTTGACGCTTCCAATAAGGCGGTCTTCGCGTCCAAGCTGACGGCTCCACCAGATCAGCTTCCTACACCGCCCCCCTCTCCGTCTGTTACGCGGCCCAGGCCTGACCGAAGACTTTCTCGGATCGCACCCGACGCATCAGCTCCTGCCCCTCTTCCAGAAGCCACATTGGCTGAACTAGAGTATACCATCTACCACGCCTCACTTCCTGAGCGCCACCCTTCTTTCGTGGACGGTATGATTCGCGAACGCGTAGCTCTCGATGGCAGGATTAGGCCGTTGGAGGTCGAGGCCGATCTCGATATCCTAAAAATCTCGCCTGAGGAGCTTGGTGTCATCAAAGATGGGCCCCTCAGACGATGGGCCGAAGGTAGAAAGATCTGGGATCACAAGTGCGTTGCTTATTCAGTTCTACTCCATTTCTTCGCTTTTGTCATTGTGAAATAGACTGCTGATACTCTCTTTTGTACGTACATTAGATTCAATGGAAGATACAAGAAAATTCAGGTCCAAAGAGAGCATCATATCAAACGGTCAAACAAGTTGAGTGACAGAGAGCTATTCTGTAAAATGTCGTCTTGTCAAGAATGTACCAAGTTCTGGATACGATTTACTCACTCTTATTATCTATTCGATCCGCCATCAGACGTGTCAAAGAAACCATGAAGAAGCTTTCCGAGCCGCACCTCTCTCAGAAGAAAAACAAGAAGAAAAAGATCGCCCGGAAGTCGTCCTCGACCCCAGTCCCGTTGGCTCACCCGGAAGGTAGCCCAACCAACGCTCTGGACCCAGTCCCTTCCCGCGATGACACCACTGTCCAGGGTTCCCATCATGAACAGGCGAGTTCTTCGGTAGAGGAGGCCCCTGCGACCCGGTTCGGATGGACCTTGTCGGACGACGAGTGTCCTCCGCCAAGCTCGATCGCCGCCAGGAAAGATACCGCTGAAGCTTATAAGGTACAGTCTTTACCTCGCCTCTTCTACTTCACTCATCGACTTGAAGAAGTTGCTTGTGTGCTGACTTCGCTTTCTCTCTCTCTCTCTCTCGTGTTTTTATCTTAGTTGGCTAAAGTGCTCGAACACCAGCACCAGTCCAAGCATGCCATGTTACTTTAACAGCTCCTTTGAGAGGAAAGACTGTTCCCCTGTCATGGGTGATGCAGTATTTCTTTCCACACAAGCGATCCGACTTCCTACAGGGCCCTGGTGATCCACTATCCCTTCGTTTTTTTTCCTTTTACTCTCTCTCTCTCTCTCACCTACCTTGCTTTTTCTTTATACCATCTCAAGATGTGTTGTTGCCACTACCCTTTCCCATCCCAATTTGCATTCGATGAACACTTCGATTTCCGCCATAATGTCTTTTTTTTATGTTTCTCTTTACCTTCTTTCAACCCAATACTTCCTTGGTCTTTTTTTGGTTCTCATTTCTTGGGGGACTACATCGCCATCCAACTTCAGCTCATTGTACCTATTTATTATGACCATGCCGTCAACATTTGTACATTTTTTGGACTCTTTTATGTTTTCTTTGGTTTACAAACTAAACTTCAATCGATATTTAGTTGGAGGGTTTATTATGCTTTGGTATAACTGCACTTGTCTTGATCTAACTATTCGAAATATCATTGATTGTACATATCAATCTTTGATTGTATACATTTTCACAAGGCAATACCATCCTGGGTGTTGTGCAAATTCAGTAGGATTGCCCAAGCCTTGATCACTCACTGAAAAAAGATTATGTCGACGAGACAAGAAAGCAACGATATCAAAATCTTAGTGGGACTGCAATGAGCTTGCAAACAACTCAACCCATACCAACAGTGAATCTCGAAAGAAACTCGCCATTGGTGACGACTACATAGAAGCTTCCGATGCTTAAAGGGATCTTCAACTAAGCCATGTGAACTTGGTGATCATTCATGATACTGAGAAATGTTGAACAGTCAAACAAAGACAATAGCTCATTACAAGTTTGAGTGAGTTACTAACAACATTCTGAGGATTCTCCTCATCAATCGTCATAAACTTTCAACTCGCCATCATCATCACTATCATCTTCTTCGTCCTCTTCATTTTTCTCTTGGGGAGTGTGATCTTTATGACAAGGATGGGAAGTTTTAACGACCTGTCTGATTTGGGGCAAGTCAGGATGATGAGCTAGACGGCCGGCGCGGATCTTTTCCTCGATCTCAGGCGCGGCCAGCCGAGCCTTCTTAGGCCCATTCAGGCTCTCATCATCATCTCCCTCTCCGTCGGGATCTTGTCGAGCTTTGGGCGTCGTTGGAGACGAGGTCGAACTCGAGCCAGTCTTAGGCCCTCCACGCCCCCGTCGTCCACCTCCTACTCCATGCTCGATGAATCGCCGACTCGTTCCTCCTATCAGTTCCTGTCGCCCCTCTTGCGACTTCGAACTCCGTGCCGTTCGTCGGAAATACGTGCGCAAGTTTTCCTAGATTTATATAATTAGAAAGAAAAAAGTTTCTACCTGATTCAGATGATTTATTTGGCCCTTCTTTAGTGGAAATAAAGTTGGTTGAGGAGATAAATCAGGAGTCTTGTTTGGTGGAAAAGACAGACCAGTTCAGGTTTCATCACTCGGTCCTCTACCGACCCAACCATCAAGTCCACATAAACTAGGGAATGAAAATAGTCAAGTAAGCGAGCAAAACATGAACAGAGCAGGGAGGCTACATCAGGGGGAGAAACGCGGACCAGCAAGCAAGTCATCCAAGGACTCGGCCAGCAAGCCCTGAAGCTTGATCTTTGTTTTGCGGGAGAGCTCGTTGGTCGACGAGGTCGCCGATCGGGAAGAAGGGGAGGTCGAGGGGTGTTGTTGAGGAGGTGGTGGTTGCTGTGCGAGATGGTCCTTCAACGAGCGTGAGCAGGCGTGCACGCTTTCGACAAGCTCCGAGCATCCCGTCTTCTCCAACCGCCCGTTGGACTCGTTCGCGTGGCCGTCCATCCGTCAGAAAAGCGCAGGGAGAGGAGGCTGTTTGTTGTTCTTGGATGTTGCTCGAAAAATCGTTCTTGTATGTGTTCTGGTTTTCTTGGGATTCAAAGAGATGAACTTGACGGTGTGACATCATAGCTAGAATGTGACAGGTCGCATGTCAGGCCTCTCGAGACATGTCACAGCATCTGTCCAGTGGACTTCGCTGAAACTGGCCCACACCGTCACCAGTGCTACCCTGGGCGCTTGGTGTTGCTATCTATTTAGTTGCAGCGGAGGATTGTTGTCGCTCTTATAAATAATAAGTGAAGAAAGAGCTGACGCAACAAACACCTCATCTGCCCACACTCAACCGCCTCTTCTCCTTTCAACATGCCGCTCAACTATGCCAAGTGGGATTCTTTGCAGGTGCGTCCCTCTCCCTCATCCTGCCTTCAGTCTCTCATCCCGAATCCCGAATCCCTTCCCTAACCCCTGAACACGATGCCTTTCTCTCTCTCTCTACGTAGCTATCCGATGACTCGGACTTGGAGGACCCTCCAGCGTATGTATCATGGTCGTCCCTCCGGTTTGTCGCTCATCTTACGCTCATCTGACTCATGGTGTTGTTTTTGCTAGCAGCATCGATAAAGAGAAAGATGCTTCCCACAAGCATTGTCAGACCCATCAACAACATGAATGCAGACAAGCCGAGATCGAAGCCATCAAATGGACGGGAAAGCTGAACGCTATTGTCATCAAAAAGCTCCAACAGCTCCTGACCAACACCGACAAGAAAGGTGTGATCCACTTACGACAGGCCGCCGCTAAGCTATCGACCCAGGGCCATGGCAAATCGTCTTTGCGCAAAGATTCGGCCAGGACTGCCGTCTTCAGGTATATCGATGATATTCTCTACAGGATCAAGGACCTTCGTCCAGCCGATCAGCGTGCATCTGCTGTCGAACAACTACAGTACCATCTAGCTGAACTCCTCGATCGCGAAAGACAACGCAAAATCGAATTGGAGAAACAAGAGACCGCCGCCCGCGAGCAGGCTCCCTGTGGTCATGCTCATGACGAATTTGATGTTACTGTTCGTCTTATTCTCTCTTTCTTTCTTTCTCGCTCTTCCTCATAGACGTCATAGCGATTAATCAGCCCAACCTGCTTGCTTCAGCAATGTCCCAAATTCGGAGCTCCCCTCACCGTCCCCACCAGTCAGTCCAACTCGACTGAGAAAGGCAAGTCGACGGCGAAAGACGAGCCAACCACGAAAGACGAGCCCACCAAGAAAGATGGCAAGTCGACAGAGAAGAGCAAGGCGACGGAGACCACCGAGAAAGACAAGTCGACCGACAAACCCAAGTCGACCGACAAAGGCAAGTCGACCAAGAAAGACACACAAAACAAACCTACTCACTCAGCCCCCGAGGGGAGTGGTGCTCGCACACAACAAGTTCGTATCAAATCTGTTGTCAAAAATTTTTCTGCAGGCTCCCTGATCACTTTGTCTTTTTTTTTGAACACGTAGGGTGGGGGCTATGTAAACCAGGGCAATGATCAGGAGACCATGCCGCTGCTCACCCCGTCGGCACGAGAATTCTCCAAGATCAAGTCCTCAGACTATTCTGCTTCTTACTTGGCCATCCGACGCGACCCTTCGCTCTATACCGACGAATCGGCAGCTATGGCCATCATGGGGGAAGCTCATGACGCCGAGGTGCAAGGGAGAAAGACGTACGCCAAGAACTGCGTCCACCAAGGCTTGCTGCTCGAGTACTGTCATACCCTCTACGCCAGAGATCCGAACTGTCCTATCCTGAGCCAGTCAGTCTTTCGCCCTTCTTTCTTTTTTTTTTTGTCTTTTTCTCAACTGACGCATACTACTCCACTCGGCTAGGGTTCTCTCCGGCCAATTGGCACCGCAGGTGGACATAGAGAAGGTCAACAAGTCCTATCAAGAGCTGGCTGCAGGGGCCTCCATCCTCAAACAATTTGGACAACTCCTTCGTGGCCCATGAGCCATTGGGTCATGTGAATATACCCGAGTTAGTTTAGATAACCAATCAAGCCGCGATGGCTGAACTGTTGTGTCCCATGCTGGGTTTCTCGATTTTCCATAGGCGGATGATATATATCTATTTTATTACACCTCATCCTGAAGCTGTGATTTTCTCAAGCCAATATATCCGCCATTAGCCTTGCCCAATCCTTATAAGAAAAAGTCTTGTTAACCCAAAACATAAAACCTACAATTGTAGAACAAAAAACTGCCTGCTTTTACACCATTTGAACTTTTTCTCCTTTGTTGTTGTATGCTCTCCTCTCACCATCAGATTAGCTTTTAAAGAAGATCAATCTTGATTGATTGTTGGCTTGTTTGCTCAATGTATCTCTCTCTCTCTCTCTCTCTCTCTCTCTTGAGCATCTCCATTCACTCGGCTGTTGAGAGTTGGACACTCTTGACAGCCAAGAGGAACACACTCCAGTCCAATGAGAGCCTGGGATGCTATAATTGGTTGCTATGGAGCTTTTGGCAACCCGAGTCAAGAAAAAAATTGCACAACTGTTGAATTTCCATTTCTTGTGTCATTTCTTCTTCAGTCTGTGTTTTACCACCTTTCATGGAGTGGGGCCCGGGGAGAGCATCAGGAGGTAGAGTGTGTCCATGGGGCCCAAAGGAAAGCACAGCCCAAAGCAAGCCTGCCCCAAACCACAGGGCAAAGCTGCACTGCTTTGGGCAGCCGGGGGACAAGAAGGAGTTGGTTCCATGCCAAAGGCTAAATCGTCCTGCTACCCTTCTTCCTCTCCATTACCACCCTCAAACTTGTCACTCACACCGCTGGAAACTTTCCTACCCCTTTCCTATCCAACTCCTTGCCGACCACAGCTCCACAACTTATACCAACCCTAGTAACACCATTCATTCTTAAAAAACCTCCCTCCTGCCCAGACTAATTACTAAGTTACAACAGACAAGACCCGCACACGGGTTGGTCTGGCGTTTTCCTGACCCCTCCGGGGTCTCCTTGGCCTCTCCCAGGTTCTGTCCTTGTGCTCCCTCCACTCCGGTGCCGTCCTGTGGGTGAGCTGGGTTGCAGGGATGCCTCGGCCTCCTGAGAAGAGTTGCTGGAGACATGTGTTCCCCGTCTCCTGGGAAAGCAAAGAGAACTCAAAGTGGCACCGCACTCTGACCACACTGCTTCCTCTTATCTGCCCTTGAGAAAGAATGTTCTCCTTGCAGGGAAGGCCTTAATGGACTCATATGTCACAGATGTAGATTTATACCTGGGCTGATGGTGTGTAAGGATTCCTTCCTCATCCCTCAGGTATGTTGTTTTTCTCTATCTCTCTTAGTTTCCTTTCTTCTGGTTGTCAATGCAGTCTGATCTCTCATTGAGTGAGCTAATCCATTGCTGTTGGCTTTGCTGAAGGTCCTTCAGCGAGCTGATGAAAGGCTCCTGGCAAACTGGTTTATCATCCAGTTGCCAAGGAGGCTCTGCCTAGTGGGATAGACTGCACAGTAAATACCAGCAAGCCGACAGGGAGTCTGCCAGCTCGCTGTGCCAGTAAAAAATAATAAATAAAGAACCGGGTTTTTGCACGGAAAACGGGGTACGCTCAAAACTGCTGCGCACAGCCAAAACTGGGTGTGGGCACGAAAAAACCGGTACAAAAACCAACCCCCCCCCCAAAAAAAAAAAATTAATAATTAAAACTCATTTTTATGGAAAATGGTTTTTACCATTAAATTCTACACGCTTTAAAACATAGGAAACAATTTTAAAAATTAAAAAAAAAAAAAAAAGCGGTAAAAAATTAATTAAAAAAGGGCCTTAATAAAAAAACCCGCATTTTCCGCGTTTTGACGCGCTTTTGCTGCGGCACAGCACACGCGCATTCCGCTTTTAAACCCGCATTTTTAATTAATTTTTTTTTGCCATTAATTTCGAGTTTTTTTGATTTTTTGAAGCTGTTTCCTACACTTTAAAAGGTGTAGAATTTAATGGTAAAAACCATTTTCCATAAAAATGAATTTTGATTATTAATTATTTTTTTCACTCATTTTTCAAGTAATTGTTTGCATGCATGTGTGTACTTTATTTTTTAAGTTTTTTTGAGGTTTTAAAATTATTTCCTAGGTTTTAAAGCATGCAGAATTTAATGGCGTAATCCAAATTTTTTAAAACTCAACGGTTCACTTTGAATACTGAAATTAGACACTTTTTTCACTTAAATTTTTACAGCTTAATTTTCATTTTTTTTTTTTTCACTTTTTAAATTTATTTCCCACACTTTAAGACATGGTTAAAATGATGGTAAAAATCTTTTTGCATAAAAACCAAAGATTTGTAATGAATACTGCGTGTGACAGGTTTTTTTTATGTTTGTTTAATTGATTTTTACCGGCTCGATTTTAATCATTTTTTGAAATTTTAAATCTATTTCCTACATCTAAAAGTGTGTAGAATTTAATGGTAGAATCCATTTTGCCTGAAAAGAGAAGCTTAAATCTTAATATAAGAGTGTACACCGTTTCTTGCATAATTTGTACTGTATACAAATTTTCTTTGAATGCAAAATGGATACAGCCAACAATTTGAAAACCTTTCAAAGTGTAGGAAATGAACTTAAAATTCCATAAAATAAGGATAATTAAGCGTGTAAGAATTAATTAAAGAAACATGTCAAAGGCTTTATTCAAGGTACATTTTTTATTTTGATGCAAATTGATTTGTACCATAATTCTATACATGCCTTAAAGTGTAGGAAACAGATTTAAAATGTCAAAAAATCATGAAAATTAAGCTCTTAAAAATCAATTGAATTTTAAGGCTGATTACAGTATTCAGAATGAACCGTTGAGTTTTATGGAAATTGAATGTTACCAGTAAATTCTAAACACTTTGAAATGTAGGAAAAAGCTTTCAAATTTCAAAAAAGCAGAAAAAATAAGGTAAAAAAATTAATGCAAACAATTGAGTGAAAAAGTGAAGAATTAAATAAAAAAACGGTGTCAAATGCAGTATACAAGATGTAGTTCTTACTTTGATTCAAAATAATTTTTACCATAAATTTATACATTTCTGAAAGTGTAGGCAAAAAGTTTAAAATGTGAAAAAAGAATGAAAATTGAGCTCTAAAAATTTAAGTGAAAAAATGGGTGTAATTGCATTATTAAAAATGAACCATTCATTTTTATGAAAATTGGATTTCACCATAAATATCTACACACTTAATAATGTAGGAAACAACTTTAAAGTTACACACAATCTTGAAAAATGAGGTAAAAAACTTAAAGCAAACAATTAACGGAAAAAATGAGTGGAAAAAAAATTAAGAATTGAAAGTCATTTTTATGCAAAATAGACTTTACCATTAAATTCTACACGTTTTTTAGTGTAGGAAACAATTTTAAAAAATCGAAAAAAATTAAAATTAACGGCAAAAAAAAATTAATTAAGAAAGCGGGTTTAAACACGGATTGCGTGTGTGCTGTGCCGCAGCAAAAGTGCGTCAAAACACGGAAAATGCGGGTTTTTTTATTAAGGCCCTTTTTAAATGTAGTAAATAAATTTAAAATTTCAAAAAATGCTCAAAATTAAGCCGGTAAAAACCAATTAAAAAAACATTAAAAAAAACTGCCCAACGTAGTATTCAATAACAATCTTTGATTTTTATGTAAAATGATTATTACCATAATTATTTAAAAGTATTAAAGTGTAGGAAAGAAATTTAAAATGTCAAAAAAGAATGAAAATTAAGCTGTAAAAATCTAAGTGAAAAAATGGGTATGATTGCATTATAAAAAGGGTCTTAGTTAAACGACTCCCAAATATTGGAGTTGCGACTCCCAAATATTTGGGACATCAAGAGGACTGGCTGCGGACGGTCCTCTCGACGTCGATCCCCCTATATTTTTTTTTCCCCAAAAATATGGGAGTCGGACCTCCAAAGGGTCCGACTATTTTGGGAGTCGGAACTCCAAAAAAAATAAAAAAAAAGGAATCCGCCGGGGGGATTTGGGAGTCGTTCCTCCAATAATTGGGAGTCGGAACGACACCAAATAAAAATATATGTATATAAAATATCTACCTCGGGCCCACGGCAGTCGATATCCGACTGCCTCCCACCCGCGCCCGCGACTCCCAGACTCCCTCCCTCCCAAAAACGAACGAAACAATCGATCGGACCGTTAGCAAACGTTAAGGAAGCGAAACAGGACCTACCAGGACCATCAGCAACCCCCCAGACCTACCAAAACCCCCATTAGCCCTCCCAGAACCCCCAAAACAACCCAAACAACCCCCACCATGCCTAACAGCCCCCCTACCCACACAACCCCCAACTCAGCCCCTCAAGAAGGCCTTCCAGCCCCTGTAGGAGACCCTCAAGACCCCTCAGACCCCCAAGAAGACCCAACAGACCCCCATGAAGGACCTCAAAACACCCCAGGCCCCCAAGAAGACCCAACAGACCCCCATGAAGGCCCCCAAGAAGACCCAACAGACCCCCATGAAGGCCCTCAAAACACCTCAGGCCCCCAAGATGACCCCTCAGGACCTCATGAAGACCCTCAAGAGCCTGAAGCCCCCCACAAAGACCCCTCAGGACCTCATGAAGAGCCTCAAGACCCCCACCCAGACCACTCACAACCGCAAGATGCCCCTCAAGCCCCCAAAGGAGACGCCGTGGTAGACGTGGTCGTAGGCTCACCGTTGCGTGGAGCAAATCCGTTGGATGGACCTCTGGACGACATGCTTGGCGTACCTACTGATGGGTTAAATCAGCCCCAAGGTAAGATTTATTTCATTCCTCACCCTCTGTCTTTCTCCACCCGTGAAGCTCCTGCTGACCGACCTGCGGTCTCAGGACCTCAAGATGCCCCTCAAGCCCCCAAAGGAGACGCCGTGGTAGACATTATCGTAGGCTCACCGTTGCATGGAGCAAATCCGCCGGATGGACCTCTGGACGACAAGCTTGGCATACCTACTGATGGTTTAAATAAGCCTCAAGGTAAGATTCATTTCATTCCTCACCCTCTGTCTCCACCCTCTGGCTCTACTCTGTCTCCACCCCTCATGCTCTTGCTGACAGACCTGCCGTGATGTCCCAACCTCCAGATGCAAACCTCCCCATTGCTGAAGATGAGGTTATCCTGTTCTCTGGAGGCCCACTCTCTGAAGGTATTGATGCCAGCCTCTCCGTACCCGGTCGTTCCCCCGGTGAAGATGATCCTGCCCCCATGTTGACCCACAGCGACATTCAGCCTCACAGTGAGATTCCACCCTCACCCTCTGACCTCATGCCTCAAGATATTGCCAATGGACCCGCGGTTGTTTCCCCTCAAGCCACTCCAGCTGCTGCCTCCCCGACTGTCTTCACTCAGGCTCATGGTCAGATCCCAGCTTCGCCGG